TTCTTATTTCTATAATTCTTTGAGGTGTTACCTTAGAATGTCAGTTTGTGCTCTTTCGGTCTTTTTGATGTAGGCATTTAGGGCTATTTACTTATATCCTAGCACCCCCTTTGCTGTATCCCAGAGGTTTTGGTAGGTTGTGTTATTGTCGTTCAGTTTTAAGAATTTTTTAATTTCCATCTTGATTTTGTGTTTAACGCAGTGCTCATTCAGGACCATGTTATTTAATTTCCATGTATTTGCCTGGTTTTGAGGGTTCTTTTTGGAATTGATTTCCCATTTTATTTTAGTGTGGTCTGAGAGAGTGCTTAATATGATTTCAGTTTTCTTAAATTTATTGAGGCTCGTTTCATGGCCTGTTATATGGTCTGTCTTGGAGAATGTTCCATGTGCTTGTTGAATAGAATGTGTATTCTGTGGTTGTGGGATGAAATATTCTGTGTGTATCTGTTAAGTCCATTTGCTCTAAGGTATAGTTTAAATCTGTTGTTTCTTTATTGACTTTCTATCTTGATGACCTGTCTAATGCTGTCAGTGGAGTATTGAAGTCCCCCCACTGTTACTGTGTTGCTGTCTATCTTGTTTCTTAGGTCTATTAGTAGTTGTTTTATAAATTTGGGATCTCTGGTGTTAGGTGCCTATTATTTAGGATTGTGATATTTTCCTGTTGAACAAGGTCTTTTACCATTATATGTCCCTCTTTGCTGCTTTTAACTGCTGTTGCTTTAAAGTTTGTTTTGTCTGATACAAGAATAGCTACCCCTGCTTGCTTTTGGTGTCCATTTGTATGAAATGCTTTTTACCCCACCCCTTTACTTTAAGTTTATGTGAGTCTTTATGTGTTAGGTGAGTCTCCTGAAAGCAGCAGATACTTGGTTGGTGAGTTCTTATCCATTCTGCAATTGTCTATCTTAAATGGAGCATGTGGGCCACTTACATTCAATGTTGGTGTTGAAATGTAAGATACTGTTGCATTCATTGTGCTCTTTGTTGCCTGTGTGCTTTGGTTTTTTTGTTTTTGCTTTTTAACTTGTGTTTTTGTTTTATGGTTCCTGTGTGATTTATGCTTTAAAGAGGTTCTGTTTTGATGTATTTCTAGGATTTGTTCCAAGATTTAGAGCAACTTTGAGCAGTTCTTGTAGTACTGGCTTGGTAATGGCGATTTGTCTCAGCATTTGTCTTGTCTGAAAAAGACTGTCTTTCCTTTGTATATGAAGCTTAGTTTTGCTAGATGCCAAATTCTTGGCTGGTAGTTGTTTTCTTTGAGGAGGCTGAAGATAGAGCCCCAATCCTTTCTAGCTTGTAGGGTTTCTGCTGAGAAATCCACTGTTAATCTGACAGGTTTTCCTGTATAGGTTAACTGGTGCTTCTGTTTCACAGTTCTTTTACAGTTCTTTCCTGCATCTTAAATTTGGATAACCTGATGACAATGTGCCTAGGTGATGAATTTCCCAGGTGTTCTTTGTGCTTCCTGTATTTGGATGTCCATGTTTGTAGCCAGGCTGGGTACGTTTTCCTTGATTATCCCCCAAATATGTTTTCCAAAGTTTTAGATTTCTCTTCTTCCTCAGGAACACCAATTATTCTTAGGTTTGATTTTTTTAACGTAATCGTAGACTTCTTGGAGGCTTGGTTCATATTTTCTTATTCTTTTTTATTTGTATTTGTTGGATTGGGCTAATTTGAAGCCCTTTTCTTCAAACTCTGGATTTCTTTCTTCTACTTGTTCAATTCTATTGCTGAGACTTCCGAGAACATTTTTGTGTTTCTAAAAGTGTGTCCAAAGTTTCCTGAATTTTTTTATTATTTTTACTTTAAGCTATCTATTTCCTTGGATATTTCTTACTTCACTTCTTGTATCATTTTTTGGATTTCTTTGCATTGGGCTTTACCTTTCTCTGGTGTCTCCCTGATTAGTTTAATGACTAACCTCCTGATTTCTTTTTGAGGTAAATCAGGAGTTTCTTGGTTTGGATTCATTGCTGGTGAACTAGTGTGATTTTCTTTTGTTGGTGGTGGGGAGGGCGTTGAAGGACCTTGTTTTGACATATTGCCAGGGTTGGTTTTCTGGTTCCTTCTCATTTGGTTAGGCTCTGTCAGAGGGAAGGTCTAGGACTGAAGGCTCTTCAGATTCTTTTGTCCCGGGGGGTGTTCCCTTGATGTAGTACTCTCCCCCTTTTCCTATGGACGTGGTTTACTGTAAGCCAAACTGCAGTAATGGTTGTCTCTTTTTTGGGTCTAGCCACCCAGCGACTCTACCAGGCTCCGGGCTGATACTGGGGCGTGTTTGCAGAGAGTCCTGTGATGTGAACTGTCTGTGGCAATCTCAGCCATGGATACCAATACCTGTTATGGTGGAGGTGGTGGGCAGGGGGCTGCAGTGGACTCCATAAGGGTTCTTAGCTTTGGTAGTTTAATGCTCTATTTTAGTGCTGGTTGGCCTCCTGCCAGGAGGTGACATTTTCCAGAAGGCATCAGCTGTAGTAGTATGGAGAGGGACCAGCAGTGGGTGGGGCCGTAGAAGGTAGAACTCCCAAGATTATATGCCCTTTGTCTTCTGCTACCAGGGTGGATAGGGAAGGACCATCAGGTGGGGGCAGGGCTAGGCATGTCTGAGTTCACACTGTTCTTGGGTGGGTCTTGCTGTGGCTGCTGTGGGTGATGAAGGTGAGATTCCCAGGTCACTGGACTTGTGTACCTAGGAGGATTTTGGCTGCCTCTGCTGAATCATGCAGTTTGCCAGGGAGGTGGGGAAGCTGGCAGACACAGGCCTCACCCAGCTCCCGTGCAAACTGAAGGGCCAGTCTCACTCCCACTGTGCCTCCCCTGTCAGCCCCGAGTCTGTTTACAGGCTATGGGTGAGTTGGGCTTGAAAACTTGCCCCAGGCTACTCACGTCCTTGTTGCGAAAGAAAAGGGCTTGGTTCTTCCCTCGCCTGTGGAGTCAGCACACAGATTTGTGCCCCCACCCCCCGACCCAGAGTTGTGGCCAGGAGACTTCTTGCCTTATTGAAATTGTTACATGAGGGTTCTTAGCCTTGGTGGTTTAATGCTCTGTGCTTGTGCTGGTTGGCCTGCCAGAATGTGACGTTTTTCCAGAAAGCATCAGCTGTAGTAGTATGGAGAGGGACCAGCAGTGGGTGGGGCCATAGAACATAGAACTCCCAAGATTAATGTGCCCTTTGTCTTTAAAGTTCAACTGACATTTTCTTCTCCCTGTGGAGTTTTACCCCCGGATCCTCTGGCCGCCCTCCTGATGGATTCCTGTAATGCCAGTGGGGAATGACCTTCTTGGGGACCCAGAAAGCTCCCAGGGCCTTTCTGTGCTGTTTCCTTTACCCCTGTATTTTGCTTGACACTCTAAATTGAGTCAGTTCCAGGTAAAGTCGGAAATTTCTGCAAACAAACCTTCAGTTTCTCCAGTGCGGGGTGGGGGGGTGTTTGGGAGAGGAGGGTCTCCCTTTCCCACATCCGCAGTTGAGGCACTCACAGTATTTGGGGTGTTTCCCAGGTCCTGCAAGAGCAGTCCACTTCCTCTCGGGATTGCAGGTTTGTTCTTGCAGTGGATCTGGAGCTAAAATTCACCATGCGAGCGTCTGCACGCTGTTCTGTCTGGAGTTGTAATCTAGTCCTGCCTCCCATCCGCCATGATGATCCCTGTCCAGTGATAACTAAATGTATGTCACAAATAGCAATTTACAAGTATTACTGATCGTTCATGTACTCCATTACAAGGAGTATTACTGATTGTGAGGTAGCCTTCACACACTCTACTCCCTTTTCTATCAATTTGATTTTCTTACTGCTTTCTGTATCTTTGGAGTAAAGACTATAATAACAGATCAGGTTAACAATGAAGGGTATTGTCTCAATCCAAAGCGAAGCCAGAAGATTGTTTTAGTCCAGTGTTGCTCACACATTTAGCTAATCATCATAATATTAAGAGAATCATATCAGGGAAGATCCAGAAATTAATAAACTGTTCTTGAATGGTTATAATCCTTCAGGAGATTGTGAACATATAAAAATTATACTTTTTGACTGTTGCAAAGTCCTAATCATTTAATAATGTACTATTTGTCAGAAGCTAGTCAAAGCATGTATTGTTTATTTGCACTCTTGAGGAAGGCGATGCCATTAGGATAAGGCAAGATCTATGTATTTCCTCATACAGTGAAAGGTAAAGATGATCAGAATATTGGCAAGATAAATCAGTATAAAAACTGTGGGCTTGAAAGCCCTAAATCTTACCAGGATAAGTCCTGTGTTACTTGTTAGTGTGGAATATTGGCATCCTGTTTAATGTCTTTGAGCCTCAACGTAGCCATTTGAATATGTCAATACTGAATAATTCTGTGTAGTTGTTGTGCAAACTTAATGAACTGATTTCCTTCTTCATAAATTCCTCAAATTATAAATTTCTGTTAAGTGAAGAATGCCTTCTGCTTAAAGGTGGAAATATATTAATCACCTTGACTGAATCTTAGATATATTCTTGGGCTTTAAGATATTTAATGTAGTATATACCAGTTACAGGTAAGTAAATTGAAACCAAGTCAAGTGATTTAGCAATAATTACATATATAATTAGTGAAAAACATGAAACTAAACAGGTCTCTTCTTTATTCCTTTTACTGTTGTTTAATGTACCCTTTGTTTAATTACAGATACATGTACATTTCTCAATTTGGTTTCTAAGATTATTTTGTTCTTTGTAGGACTGACTGATTTATTTATGGCTTTAATTTTAAATGCTCACATAACATTGTTCTGGCTGAAAGGGCTATAATTGCTTTTTTTTTTAAATTGTAACTGCCATTTAGCAACTCGCACTGTACTGTTGAAACTTTATTCAGTAATGTTATACCATGGGAAATTGGATTTTAGATCTGGAAATAAAAATCTGAAGGCTTGAAAGTATGATCAATCTTAATGACATAGAATAAAATAAACTACTAAAGGAAGTTTTATGTATTCTTCAATTTATGTTTTGTGTTTTAGATAGAAATAGAGAAGCTGAAAAAAGCTGTCCTGTCTTCTTGAGGTGGTGTGGACCTGGTTTTCGTAATGTTCCAGGGATTCGGAAGCAACACTATGAACTTCAACTGACTTGTTACTTAAAAATTGTGAATGCTGGTGTTGTGATAAATATGAGTATATGAAGTATAATATCTGTAGAAAAGTAGAGTGAGGGTGAATTTTATATATATATATATATATATTTTTTTTTGTTTTGCCAATATGAAGAAAAAGAGGCCTTATTTCTTACTGTGCTGGGATTGCAAACACTTTTTAAAAAATTGTTTGCTGGAAAATACTACTGAATATGTATAAATAAGAATGTTAACAGTAGTTTTTTTAATTGAAACTTGTATTATTTTTAAAGAGATCTATACTATAAATATGGTGATATATTTACAAGTAATCTGTAAGATATACTATTTGAGAGGGACAAATTAGCTTTTTAGTAACTACAGTCACTACTTTTTCCATAATGCATAAGGGATATAAACTGTGTGTGTATGTGTGTGTGTGTGTATATTTTTACTTTTATCCTCTTACCCAAGGTTACATTGTTGTGCCTATTTGTCTGCTGTTTATATTTTGGGTGATGAAATAGGACTTTCCTAGCTACATAAGCCGGATTACTCACCCATGCATATAGTAAGAACTAATGAATAATCAAGATAATTTCATCAGCTTTTAGAATATTTTATGTTGCTTGCACTATAGGAGTCATAAAAGGAACTTAGTTAAAACATGTTGGATTTTTAACCATTTGGGGGAAATATGAGCTGTATTTTAAATTCATTAGCTCTGAAGAATCTAAAACTGTTAATTTAACCCTTAACTTGTGCCTAGAAACTACAGCACATACAAAATATATAAACACTAGCCTTATTGCCGTACTTTTCTGCTTATTTTACAGTCTCAAATATTTCTCATTAACTTGTGACTTAGTTCTTCATGCTCCTCCTTGTGACTTTTAATAATGATAATATTAGGAAAATAAAACCCAAAGCTTTTCAGAACTTCAGTGTGAGCTTTCCTATTTTGACAAGTTATCTTTTAAATACTCAGGTTTTATGATGTTTAATTTACCTAATAGACCAAACTAACTTGTGGAGATATTTCGAACTATTATTTAGGTACAAACTTTATAAAGAATGTTAGTATGTCATAAAATATAACATTACAGCTTATTTAAAACCAAATATAGTTGAACATATTTAAAATACATTTTCACAGAATGAATGAATTAGTCGTTTCTTCAGAGTTACTTATGAACAGTTGAATGCTTTAAAATGTTCTGTTTGTAGGTAACATCTGAAAACATAAGTGGATTTATTTAAATTTTTAAAATTTGAAATTTTTATTGTAAAAAATTAGGCTTTATGCTTTATCATATAGCAAATGAGTGTCAGATTTTTGAGTACCAGTTATCATGCTTCAGTTTTTTAGTTTTAAACCACTAAACCAATATTTTTTCTTTACATTTTAATATCATAATACAGAAATATATGTAAATGAAATTTGGTCATGTTTCAAATAAAGAGAACTGAAGTAGAAAATAATAGAAATGCCAGTTAAACAACTTAATGTTTAATTTACAGTTTATGTTAGGGCTTTTGGGGAACGCTAATTATATATTAAGAATATACGTTAGAAATCTTTAAAATGTTTGGGCTCTTCTAATGAAGTCACTACTGGGCAAACTTGTTCCCTCTTTTGTTAAATAGAATAGGTTTAAATGACTAGTCAAATGAATTATTTCCTCCGTATTAAATTTTATTTTATTTTATTTTAATGACAGACCTTAGGTAAAAATAAAAACATTGTAATGCTAGAAATTATCCTCCAGCTTTCTCACCTGAAAATCTATTGAAGTGATCCCTGGTTACCCTAATAATGGGGTGAAGGAAGGTTCCAACAGATTTCAGGCTGCTCTTAAATAAGTTTTTCTTGGTCATTTTCTCATTAGTACTTAAAATCAAGATGCTCATGGGCACTGAAATGCATTTAAAGTTTTTGCTTGTGTACTACTCAGTCAGCATAGAAAAGTAACTGAAATACTCTTATTTATCAAGTAGTAAACAGAACCAAACAAACTCAGGCCTCATGGGAAAAATGATTCCTTTATTCTAGCAATTTACTCCTTGCTGTTGGTATGGGAAGTTTTATTAATTTCTATTATTAGAGTTCATATCACAAAATGATATGTAAGAATAATAACCTTTACTTGGGGTAAATCATGAATTTTTTTTCCTTACATGTGAGTATAAAAGATGAAAGTTGAACAGCATGGAATCTGTCATTGCCAAATTATTAATGAATGTATAGTTCAGGTATTCTTTGAGACACAATATCATTAATTTCCTAATTGTATTTCAGTGTTATTTTTTGTGTGTGACCACTAAGCTTCCGTCTTAATATAAAGCTATTACCCTCTACAGAACTTAAGTCTGAAGATGTAAAGAGAGAACAGGCCTTGTGTAAAAGAAGATACTCTTTTTTTTTAATGCTCCTTACTGTGATCACAGAAATAAAAAATAATCCAAGTGCTCTCTAGATTTGTTGATAAACATTTTATGCTTGCATTTAAACTTGAAATGTATGAACAGAATGAGACAATCAGTTAAATCAGAAATGAAAAGTATTATAATGTAATGGCCTTGTTTTGTTGTAGCAATAAAATGACCAAGTGCAATGATTGATTTAATAAAATCTTTTAAAAATTGCTGCTATGAATATTTTTAGCTATAAAATTTTACCCTGACTTGCTTTCAGTAACTATTATGTAATACAGTTGATGTTGTGGTAACCTAACATTCCCAGCCCGCCCCGCCCCCCACATCCCCCGCCCAAAAAAAAAAAAAAATGAAATGGAGAAACTCAAAATAGTATACTTCACTGACTTGTTTACAGGTGCTGTATAAAAAGCATGCTTCTCTCTCAAAAAGAAAACTTAATAATAAAGAATTTTATTGCCAGTTGTGTCAGTCTTTTCTGGTTATTTTTCATTAACTTTATTTAGCATTTGTGTATTGCAGAGTATGATGAAAATTGTTTTATATTATTTGAATTTCCAAATACAAGAATAAATAGCAAACTGAAAGCATGAAAAGTTCTAGACCTGTATGACTTTTACGGAACTTTTCTGAGTCTGGTTTTTAATCTGAAACTGAGATAATAATTTCTGCTATACAGGATTATGGGGAAAATTTGAAATAGTTTATCTAAAGGGCCTTGTAGAGTGCTTGGCATAGAGTAGTTTTTATTTATTTATTTTTAAAATGGAGGCTACTGTTTTACCTTTTTAAAGAGCATTTTGCAATGACGGATGTGATATAAATGAGATTGTACCACTGCACTCCAGTCTGGGTGACAAAGTGAGACTCCATCTCAAAAAACAAACAAAAAAATAGGTATTGTGATACAGCTGTATTCTTTTTGCTCAAAATTGCTTTGGCCATTTGGAGTCTTTTGTGGTTCCATATCTATTTTAGGATTGTTTTTCTATTTCTGTAAAGAATGTCGTTGGTATTTTGATAGGAATTGTGTTAAATATGTATATTACTTTGGGTAGTATGGACATTTTAATAATATTAAGTCTTCCAATTCATGAAAAAAAAGATTAAGAAAAAGGAGGCATCGTATGTCCTTTCCCCGTTTTTGAATACAATATAGTATCTCTTTCTTTGGGAAGGTGTTCTTACTATATTGTTCATAGGGGAGCTACTATCATCTTACAGATTCTACCTCCTTGACCACCTAGGAATTACCTCTTGAGAGAGTACTTGGCTCAAATTGAGTTACTGAGTTAATCAGAGAATGAAATTTTAAAAATTGGAAACAAAAAGAGCTAATCTCAGCGTGGGAGCTCTCCACAGTTGTATTTTTCTGTCATCTGAAAAAAGCTGTCGTGAAAAACGAAATTTAGTAGAGCGTAAATAGATGGAAACAGAATGTGGAAGGACTTTGAAGCTAATTATAGCTGTTCCTGCGTCTCAACTACCTATTGCTTGGTTCTTTAAGCAGAAACTTGCTCATAAGCTTGTTGGCTTTCTTAACTCACAACCGAAAAAGTCCTGATACATACAGAAAACAAGATGAAATCAGGCGAACATTAAAGCCCATATACTTTTGCTCAACATAGGTCACATATATCGCTTTAGAGACTCTAGTAGTGTGCTGGAAGATCTGAAACAGTAGGAATAGGACACTACTATAAAGCAATGTGGAAAATTGGTGTGTCAGATAAGTTTTTAAAAATGTTATTTAAAAAATTTCTGCCAGGCATCGTGGCTCATGCCTGTAATCCTAGCACTTTGGGAGGCTGAGGCCGGCAGACACAGTGAAACCCCGTCTCTACTAAAATACAAAAATTAGCCCAGCATGGCGGTGTGTGTGCCTGTAGTCCTAGCTACTCCGGAGGCTGAGGCAAGAGAATCGCTTAAACCCAGGGGGTGGAGGTTATAGTGAGCCAAGACTGTGCCACTGCACTCCAGCCAGGGTGACAGAGTGAGACTGCATCTCAAAAAAAAAAAAAAAAAAAAAAAAACTTTGGAGGCACATAATGATAAAGTTTTGGACTATGGAATTTGTGTTTGAAGAATGTAGAAGGTTTTGTCTGAAAATACAATTTGCAGATTTAGCACAGTTCTAGGAAATAAAAGCAGATAGCAGTTTAACTCACCTGGATTTATTAGGCTCTATTACTTCTCAAGATTCAAGAGAGACTGGGTCTGGGTGTTAAAAAAATTTTTTTTTTTTTCCAAATCCTGTTATTGCATTTCTTTTACCACTAACACCATTTTTGTGAATCTGCTTGTTCCGTGTAAAGAAAATAAAGTCACAAATAGGCATCTATTTTTTGTATAGAGCCAGTAATTTTTCTGTCATGAAAGGTATGGCTATTTTGCAACTATTGGATGGTATTATTTCCTATTAGGTTCCAAGTATTTCTTACTGACTACATTTCGGTTCCTTTAAAAGTGTGTGAATAAAGTTACTCAGAGTATAATTACATTTTAAGCGCATTGAGTAACTTTTTTTTGTTTTTTTGAGACAGGGTCTCACTCTATTACCCAGGCCAGAGTGTAGTGGTACGATCTTGGCTCACTACAACCTCCATCTCCTGGGCTCCAGCGATCCTCCTGCGTCAGCCTCCTGAGTAACTAGGATTACAGGTGCATACCACCACGCCCCCACCTAATTTTTGTATTTTCTTGTAGAGACCGAGTTTTACCATGTTGCCCATCTTGGTCTTGAACTCCTGAGCTCAAGCAGTCTGCCCTCCTTGGCCTCCCAAAGTGCTGGGATTACAGGCATTAGCTACCATGCCCGGCGAGTAACAATTCTTTAATAAAATCACGTCATCGTTAGATGACAATCCATAGAGTGGATTTTTAGAAATATTCCTGAACAGAATGCAAATAACTTGATGTGACAAAGTGAAGACACTTTTACTGTCTTTTCCTCCCTTGAAACTCACTAAAAACAGTACAATGAAGAATGGATTTATCATTAATAGATTAAAAAGCAGATTTAAGATAAAAACATTGCCTTTCAGATGAAATAAGGAAGCCACAATTTATAATAGTAAAAATACCTCCCAAATGCTTTGAGGGAGCGGCCTGAAATCTGATACAAATGTTTCAGACTTTGTGCCAGATACAGATTTCTGTAAAAGGCCCAACTGATCATTGTAGGCTCAAATCCTCTACAGAAGACCAGCTGGGAAATTAGAAACTGAAAGAGAAGCCTCACTAACTGTAAGCTCTAATAATTTGAAGGCTGCAAACCAAGGGGAGGGAGACATGCTTTTAGGGAAGACAGATTTAATTAGAGAATATTTTTGATAACATGCTGAAATTGTAGCTCTTCCTCCTTCCTGTGCTATTCAGCAAGTAACTGACACCATGGAAAGGTGACTATTCAAACACAAGTATCTTTATGGATGTTTGTGTTTTGTATAACAGAAAAAAGTCCAGAAGAAAAGCTTGCTTAAAATCCTTATGTCCCAGGAGGGAAAAAATGACATGACATGTAACACCAAGGCTTGTCTGTTAAGTTACGGTACTTTAAAGAATGAATATTGACTCAAAAAGAAGTTGAAATTTTTAATTGACTAGTCACACCACAGTAAATTTGAAATGTAAGGCTCTATTACTGAGAAAGGAAGAAAGGCCAGATAATAGCTGTGTTTTATCTTTAAGCTACTCAAAGCTATGGAAAAAGATGGAAAACCACCCAATTATTTTTTTATTTAGGAAGAAATTACTCTTTATTGAGCACCAGAAATTTGCAGCAAATGACTTAACATCTTAATAACCACCAAGGCCGGGGCTCTGAGGCTTGCTCTGCCTCTCCTAGTCCTTAATGGGGTTTAGAGGGAGAGACGTCATTAACAGAGACCAAGCCAGATGGTTGCAGGTCCTCCTTTCCCAGTCATGACAAGCTGCGCAATTCTTGTTTAGAGCAGGAAAGAGCCAGTACTCAGTAAAGTCTAATAAAGAATTTGAGGTTGCATTATAAGATCTCTCTTAACAATTTAGATTTATCAACAGTATTGGTCCAAAACTCATTTGCTTCTGACCTAAATTTTTTCATTTTGCAATTTGTGTGTGTGTGGTTTTAATAAATCATCTCAATCACTGTGCAGAAATTAACCCAGTGCAAAGAAAAATCCCTCAACCTGGAATAGCCTCATCTTACTTTGGAAAGAGAAAACAGAGATATTTCTGCTCCTCCTCTACCCAAGTGATGAACAAACATCCCCCACAAAGTTCAAAATATTACTCTGGCCTCGGAATGTACATAAAGGCTGCTTTTGATGGGCTGATTCCAATCACCTAGAAAGGGCAGTTGGAACCACTATGCAGGCAGCCTTCTTTGGAAAATTTTTTTTTCCCATTTATTTTATTGCATTTTAGGTTTTGGGGTACATGTGAGGAACATGCAAAATTGTTGCATAGGTACACACGTGGCAGTATAATTTGCTGCCTTCCTCCCCATCACCTACATCTGGCATTTCTCCCCTTGCTATCTCTCCCCAGCTCCCCACCCCCCACCGTCCCTCCCCTATTTCTCCCCAACTGACCCCAGTGTGTAGTGCTCCCCTCCCTGTGTCCTCATTGTTCAACACCCGCCTATGAGTGAGAACATGTGGTGTTTGATCTTCTGCTCTTCTGTCAGTTTGTTGAGAATGATGGTTTTCAGGTTCATCCATGTCCCTACAAAGAACCCAAACTCATCGTTTTTGATGGCTGCATAATATTCCATGGTGTATATGTGCCACATTTTCCCTATCCAGTTTATCGTCGATGGGCATTTGGGTTGGTTCCAGGTCTTTGCTATTGTAAACAGTGCTGCAATGAACATTCATGTGCACGTGTCCTTATAGTAGTTTCCATGAAGCTGTGCGGTTCTGGGTTAGTTTTTGAATTCTGAGTTCTAACTTGATTGCACTGTGGTCTGAGAGACTGTTTGTTACGATTTCCATTCTTTTGCATTTGCTGAGAAGTGATTTACTCCCAATTATGTGGTTAATTTTAGAGTAGGTGTGATGTGGTGCTGAGAAGAATGTATATTCTGTGGATTAGGGGTGGAGAGTTCTGTAAATGTCTATTAAGTTTGCTTGGTCCAGGTCTGAGTTCAAGTCCTGGATATCCTTGTTAATTTTCTGTCTGGTTGATCTGTCTAATGTTGACAATGGGGTGTTAAAGTCTCCCACTATTATTGTGTGGGAGTCTAAGTCTCTTTGTAAGTCATTAAGAACTTGCCTTATGTATCTGGGTGCTCCTGTATTGGGTGCGTATATATTTAGGATTGTTAGCTCTTCTTGTTGCATTGATCCTTTTACCATTATGTAATGTCCCTCTTTGTCTCTCATGATCTTTGTTGCTTTAAAGTCTACTAGGCGGGTATCCTTCTGGGACAAAGATAGCAGCAGAAGAAAACTGGAAATTTCTTAAAATCAACTCTTGAGAACCATCCGTGATTGTGTACAACAGCTCCAGGGTCCAAACAACTTCTGTTCTTTCATCTCACGAGCAAGGCTCAGAGGAGGCATTTGAATTGTCAGGAGCAACAGCAGCAGCTGTGGCCCCACGAGGTAGGAATAACTCGCGGCTTGTCAATGATCCGGGCCGTTCGGGTTCCCTTTTCCACAATGCCAACGATCCACGCTTGGTGACTCTCTCCGTACTTGGAGGATTTGATTTCTGAACAAAAGCGGGCCGCCTGTTCTCTGGGCAGACAAATCAGTAATCCCCCAGAGGTTTCAGCTGAGGTTCCTTGTAGAAGCCCAAACCGTCCACTGGCCTTGCTGAAGGCAACCATTTTGGCAATTATTGGCAGATTATGAATAACAAAGGACACTTCGTTTCTTTGTTGTTTCGCAAGGTTCTGGGAGTGTCCTAGAATGCCGAAGCCTGTGATGTCTGTGGCGGCATGGGCATTAAATGTGTGCATTAAACCTGCAGCAGTTCTGTTGAGGGTAGTCATACTGAACATGGCTTCCTGTTACGCCAGCTCCACTCTTCTCTGGAGACCGCCATCTTTATTCCATCTTTCAGGATTATCCAGCCATTGGTGGGCATTGACAGCAACCTGGGCTCCTAACGGTTTGGTTAACACCAGCACATCCCCAGTCACCGCCCTGTTGGGCATTATGACTTCATTTGGCTGGCATACCACAGTGCCGACTCCACCGATTATAATCCAAGGGTTGAGCAGCGTTTGCCCACCTGCCACTGCAGTCCCTTCTTCTTCAGTCGCATCCCGAAAGCCTTTGACTGTGAGTGGCATTACCTTTTCGCGTTCCTCCTCTCTCATACTCTGGCTGACGCTGAGTAACATCAACATGTTGTCACACTCAGTAAGGCCCATGGCGTAGAGGTCACTCAGCACGTTGGCACAAGCTATGTGCCCATCACGTAGGGATCCTCCACCAAGGGGTAAAAGAAGGCCGTGGTCTGCACTAGCGACAGGCCCCCATGCCTCAGGGGAATGATGCAGGAGTCCATCCTGATGCCCACGGTTGGAAAAGTGGGGCTGGGGCCCGCTCCGGTTTCCTGGGACGCCTCTTCCGGACCGCCTACCAGGCCCCGCCCAGTAGGGGCCGCACGTCCGGCCGCGTCAGTCCCGCCGGGAGTTTGAGCAGCGTCTCCTGCTGGGCCTTGCAGCCTCAGCCCTTCATGCGGGAGAAGCCCGTCAGCCGCCAGGCAGGGCTGAGGCCCAACGCCTGGGGCTCGAAGGGCCGGTAGTTGGAGAAGCTCCGGGCCAGAGTCAAGCCCGCCGGGCCGAGGAGCCTTCCGCAGGTGCCATCGCCGCCATCACCTCTCCGCAGGCGCCCGTCGCCGAGGCTTCTGCCATCGCGCACGGTCAGACTCACGCCTCAGGCAGCCTTCCAGGTCTTCCTCCCAATTTCTTTTATGAATCCAGCATACCTTTAATATCTAAACCTGATCATCATAAACCAGTCTCACATGTAAAGATTTCAGAAATTTATCCGGAAATTTATCAGTCTTAACGGATTATATGATATTAGAAAAAGAAAACGTTCACATTGATAAAAGGAAGGGATTTCCCGTACTGGGTATGGTGGTGAAGAACACAGTGACAAATTGGTACCGCTGTCTTGATGCATGCCCAGCAGTTCCAGTCACCGTTGTGTTTACACCAGCAGGGCAAATCTCAACACATTGAGAAAATCATCTTTGTATTATCATAAAAGTGGTTTTGACCTGTGGACCACGCTTTGAGAACCGCTGACTTAAGATGACCTGGTATGGTCTTTAGCATATAGTGGACAATCAGTGAATGTTTAATGGATGAATAAGTGATGAAAAGGAGGTACTTATCCCTTGTCTTTACTGTGCCCTACCTTTTCTTCATTCCTTTTCAAGTGTAATATCTCCTCAAGACTAACCACTCTCATGCCGTTTCCTATAAAATAGACATTCTTCCAGGGCTCTTAAAATGTATTTAACATTTTATATACTGGACTTTAGCTGGTCAGTTTAATTACCCTACATTTTATGGTAAACTTGCCTTTAAAAATAGGCATGGCATCAAACACTCATAACTAATGTTTATTTTGTGCTTACCACATAACCGTACCAAGTGCTATTCCAAGTAATTGCTATCTAATTTAGCTGTCTATCCTGTCTCATCATCTCAACAATCCTATGTGCTAGGTGGTGTTATACTCCACAGATGAGGAAAGGGGCTAAGGAAGGTTAAGCAACTTGGCCAACCTCACGGAGCTAATAAGGGCTGGAGCTGAACTCAGCTCAAGAAACCGAGTTTTGAAGCCTGTGCTTTTGTTCATAAGCTTTATTGCTTCTCTGCATAGAATATATATAGGAAAGAAGGAGCCTGCATGGGGAATCTGAATTTCTTCTAGTCTAGTCTTACATTCACTCTTTGTGATCCTCTATATTAAGTCTATCAGTTTTTTCTTCCATCAGTAAGTGACTAAATGTAAAGTCTATTTTCAGTGATCTCATAGTTTTTTGATTCCTCTGTAATGTGGTCACACAAGATTTTAGGAAACATTCTTCATTTCTTAGTGTACATTTTTGCAAACTTAAATGGTTTTCACGGCTTTTCAGCAAAAACACAAGAAACTACCCTACTGAGCTTCCAGAAAGAAATTAAATGGGCTGGGCACAGTTGCTCATGCCTGAAATCCCAGTACTTCAGGAGGCTAAGGTGGGAGGATTGCTGGAGCTTAGAACCCAGGTTGGGCAACATAGGGAGACCTTGTTTCTACTAAAAACAAAAACAAAACCTAATTGGGCATGGTGGTATGCGCCTGCAGTCTCACCTACTTGGGAGGCTGAGGCAGGAGGATCACTTGAGCCCAGGAGGTTGAGACCGGAGATCATGCCACTGCATTCCAGCCTGGGCAACGAAGTGAGGCCCGGTCTTTCAAAAAAAAAAGAAAGAAAGAAAAGAAAAAAGAAAGTTAAATGACCACTAGATGGCAGTCAAATAAAGCTCAGCTTATACGTGTCTTGCGAAAACCATAAATACAGGTAGCAGCTGCAAATAAAATCAGAGAGGGCTTTGGGCTTCAACCTCCAACTGGGACACAACCACCCTACTTCCCTATCCTGATTACTTCCCGAAGCTAAGTGCCACACAGGGACCGTTTTGTTAGTCTCACCAAGATTATTACCAGTTCCATGGAGGGAAAGAGAGAGAATGAAATAAAATAATTTATATTATTTTCAGTCTACTGAATTTTTGTGAATGTATGTGTAATGCAAAAATGCCTTTATGTTTGTTTATTCTATCTTGATCCGAGCCTTTGTTCTTACTGAGGCAAGAAAAAAATTGCATTCAAAGGCAACGTTCTCATCTGGTTTGTTTATTTATTTATTTATTATTTTTGTGTGTGTGAGTTAAGAGTCTCTCTCTGCCACCCAGGCTGGAGTGTAGTGCCACGAACTCAGCTCACTACAACCTCTGCCTCTCGACTAAAGCGATTCTTGTGCCTCAGCCCCCCGAGTAGCCAAGACTATAGGCATATGCCACCATGCCCAGCTAATTTTTGTATTTTTAGTAGAGACATGGTTCTGCCATGTTGGCCCGGCTGGTCTCGAAAATTCCTGATCTCAAGTGATTCGCCTGCCTCGGCCTCCCAAAGTGCTGGGATTACAGGCATGAGCCACCATGCCCAGCTGTCATCTGGTCTAAATTATAAATTACTGTATATATAAAATAAGTAGCAATTCACATAAAGTTCTCTTGGGCTGTTTCTCCTTACTCAGGGATCTGCGTTTGTTCTTAGTGTGGTGTCTGTGTGTGCAGGAAGTGGATACATCCTTTAGGGAGCAGGAGGAGGCAAGACTTCTTGTTTCTGAGCCTCTTGCTCTCCTCTGCCCCTTTCCTCCCTAGTTAAATATGATTTGAGAAGACATCTCACCTCTTGCCTACCCCTTGCTATTGCTCTCTGTGCCAGAACTTCTCCTATTCAGAACCAGAAGGGCTCTGGATTAGTTTTCTGTTGCCACTGTGATTACCACAAATTTAGTGGTGCAAAAACAATAGATGTGTTATTTTATACGCTGGTTGTCAGAAGTCTGACATGAATTTCACTGGGCTAATATTAAGGCATAGGCAGGGCTGAGTTCCTTTGGAAGCTCTAGGGAGAAAATTTCTTTTCCTTGCCTTTTCTCAGTTATTTATTTATTTATTTTTGAGATGGAGTCTTGCTCTTTTGCCAGGCTGCAGGGCAGTGGCGCAATCTCAGCTCATTGCAACCTCCGCCCACAGGTTGAAGCAATTCTCCTGCCTCTCAGCCTCCTGAGTAGCTGGGCCTACAGGCACGTGCCACCATGCCTGGCTAATTTTTTTTTATTTTTAATTTTTTTAGTAGAGATGGGGTTTCACCATGTTAGCTAGTATGGCCTCAATCTTCTGACCACATGATCCACCTGCCTCAGCCTCCCTAAGTGCTGGGCTTACAGGTGTGAGCCACCATGCCCAGCTACCTTTTCCAACTTCTTTAGACTGCTGGCATTTCTTAGCTCGTGGCCCCCTTTCTCCACTTTCAAAGCCACCTGTAGTGGGTTGAGCACTTCTTACACTGCTGTCCTCCATCCTTCATGCATAGTCACATCTCCCTGGTTCTGTCTCCTTCTCCACTCTTAAAAACCCTTGTGATTACGTTGGGCCCACCTGTCTGAAGGTTCTTAATCACATTGGCAAAATCCCTTTTGCCGTGTAAGGTAACATATTCACAGATTCCTGGGACTTAGGATGTGTATGTATCTGTGGTGGTGGTGGTGGTCGGGGGGGCATATTCTGCCAGCCACAGGCTCTCTGCTTCCCGTCAGATTGAAATGTTCCTATGTGTCCGCCTTCTTTTCCCTATGCTGTGGTATTCACTCCTCCCTTCTTTATGGCAGTAATGGAAGGCCTCAGAGAAAGGATTCAGCTTACCACTGAGATAAAGTACTTTTTAGGGGAGTGTGTTTTAAAAAATCATCCCCAGAATAAATAGTGGACTTGCCCAGGGAGTTCCTGGGTCAGACTTGGAACTGTGCCATGCTATACAAATTCTTCGTAATTTTCATAATCCTTGGAGGTAAAAACAAAATCGAACCAAACAATACAAAGAATGCTTTAAATATCATTTTATATCCAATGGATAGCTGGACTGGCTGGATGATACCTTTCTGTTACAACCAAGACTGGTGCTTCAAATGAGAAGTTCTAGGTAAGTAGAAACCTCATAGTATTATCACCTTTAAAGTTGTTCTGCTATTGTTTTGTTTCATAGTTTTGTTGTTGGTTTTTTTTTTTTTTTTTGGCATTGTCTGTTGTCTATATGGCATTACTGCCACATCCTTGTATGATCTTCAACCACATCGCAGATGAAAAGCCAGAAAGTACATATCTTAGATTCTCTTTTCCTATGGGTTGAAAGGCAAATGAGAAGAGGCTGTTCTCCAGGTGCAACTGTGGGTACATGCAGGCCAACTGCAGGCCGAGAAGTGATGGAGCTAGCAGGGCTACTCCTCAGAACCAACCACACCTGAGCTGGGGGCTGCTGAGCTGGGGCAGCTTCTTGGGAGTCACTTACTTCGAAGTTCTTGGATCCCCTCAAGCATAGCTGTATCTTTCTAAGACTTTGTTTCCCTCTTACGCCTTTCCCTCCCTAAGGAGCAGCAGGTGTTTCTTGAAGGCTCTGTGATTTGTGGTGAGCTCTTGGGAAGCCTTGGGCTTTGGAGCTGCAGGCTGAGATTTTGGGGATAACTCCTCTTGTTCCCCCAGCTCTTCCAACAGGTGTGCAAGGCCCATTCACTAGATTATAACTCTTTGTACTTGGAATGCAGAGTTGAATCAGATTTCTGAACTGAATTTTGACTGGTGAAGGATTTTGTTTTGTTTTGCATTTTTTGCTAATTTAAATTATATTTTTGTTGTGAAAGCTTAGAAAATATCAGAGTATAAAATGTTCCTAGAAGCCACTAATCAAAGAAGAGATAACTATAAACATTTTTGTTTCTTTACATCTTTTCTTACATTGTATGTAAGGATACGTAAGAATTTTTCTTTAAAATTTTTTTTAAATTTTTATTTTTATAGATTGGGGGTATAAGTGCAGTTTTCTTATATGGATACATTGCATAGTGGTGAAGCCTTGGCTTTTAGGGTACTTATTACTTGAATAGTGCACCTTATATTCGTTAGGTAATTCCTCATCCCTCATCTAGCTTTTCGAGGCTCCAAAGTCTGTTCCACTCTCTGTGTCTATGTGTACACATTAGTAGCTGCCAGTTGTAAGAAGATGCACTATTTGACTTTCTGTTTCTGAGTCATTTTACTAAGGATATTGGCCTCCAATTCCATTCACATTACGTTTACAAAAGACATGATTTCACTATTTTTTATGGCTGAATAGTATTCCATGACACAGACACACACACATATATAACATATATATGTGTGTATATATATATATATATGTATATATATATATATACACATACTTTTCTTATTCAGTTTTCTTTATTCAATCATGTGATGATGGACACTAAGATTGATTCCATATCTTTGCTATTGTGAATAGTGCTGTGATAAACATATGAGTGCAGATAGCATTTTAAAATATAATAGTTTCTTTTCTTTTGGGTAGATACCTAGTGTGATTAATGGGTAGAATGGCACTTGCATTTTTAGTTCTTTGAGAAATCTTTATACTGTTTTCTGTAGGAGTTGTACTAATTTACATTTCCACTAACAGTGTATAAACATTCCTTTTTCTCCACACTCTTGTCAACATCTGTTATTTTTTGAGTTTTTAATAATAGCCATTCTGACTGGTATATGGTGGTATCTCATTGTGGTTTTAATTTGCATGTATCTAATGATTAGTGACTCTGAACATTTTTTTCATATGCTTCTTGGCCATTTTATGTCTTCTTTTGAAAAATACCTGTTGGTGCCTTTGCCTGCTTTTTAATGGGGTTGGTTTCTTCCTGTTGTGTGGTTTGAGTTCCATTTGGCTTCTGGATATTAGTCCTTTGTCAGATGCACAGTTTACAATTATTTTCTCCTATTCTGTAAGTTTTCTGTTCACTCTGTTGATTATATCTCTTTTGCTGTACAGAAGCTTTCTAGTTTAATTAAGTCATATTTGTTTATTTTGGTTTTTGTTGAATTTGCTTTTGGGATCTTAGTCATGAATTCTTTGCAGAGGCCAAGGTCCAGAAGAATTTTTCCTGTTTTATTCTAGAATTTTTACAGTTTGAGGTCTAGTAAGTCTTTAATCTATCTTAATTTTTTGAATATGGTGAGAGATATAGGTCCAGTTTCATTCTCCTGCATGAGATCATACAATTTTCCCAGCACAATTTATTGAATAGAGTGTCCTTTCTCCAGTGCATATTTTTGTTGACTTTGCTGGAGATCAGTTGGCTGTAGGTATATGGCTTTATTTCTGAGTTCTCCATTCAGTTTCATTGGTCTATTTGTGTGTTTATATACTAGTTCCATGCTGTTTTGGTTATTAAGGCTTTGTATAATTTGAAGTCAGATAATGTGATGTCTCTAGCTTTGTTCTTTTTGCTTAAAATTGCTTTGGTTATTTGGGCTCCTTTTTGGGAGCCCATATAAGTTTTAGGTTTGTTTTTCTAACTCTGTGAAAAATGATATTGGCATTTTAATAGGAATTGCAATGAATCTCTTATTGCTT